AAAACCTTGTCAACTTAAATTATTCTAAACAGTACTTGCAAGGTGTACGGCTTGCTCCAATTTATTTCTCTTCTCACATAAAACCGTACACGAGAAACCCATGAAACCAAGCGGTTGTTCCATGAGTCATGCCGTGACACTGTGGCGCAATAGGGCGCAAACAAATTTTACATGTGACGTCCACTCAGACCACCAAACTTGAACATCATGATTTGCTTCTCCGCTCTTTAAGAACTTGGATGTCAGATTTTCCTCTGAATTGAAGACGTGCGGAATTCAGCGAGGTGACTTGAATTTTGTGAATTGGGAATGCATATACAATTTCACTAGTAAATATGGCTGCATGATCTTTATTTACGATTTTTAAGTGCCTACAGCGTCGTATTCGCTCAATTGTAACTGAAAGATCGTCCATCGAATGACATGTGCAACTACGTCGTTCCATATTCGTCTGTGGTGGGGGCACGCACGAGCGTTGTTATTCGTGATGGTTGAGGTCGAACGGGTGTCATCTGGTGCGAACCAGGTCGATGAAGAGACACAATTCGGAATGCATTTGTCGTAGTTCAGTAGATCGGGTTGACTATCAAGCCTTGACTTGAAACGCTAAGTGAACTTGGTTCCTGTAATTTTTCCTCTTCCATTAGTCTCAAGTTGTTGATCTTGGCTGATGTACATGAGGTTCAAGAATGGAATTTATACCAAGGAGCTATGTTGACGGTAAAGTCAAGAGTTTATATTCTAACGGTAGATCTTTCTCTCGTTCCATTGAATTCAAGGTGGAGTTCTGATCGTGTCATGGCGAAGTAGCGATGGTTATTTAGATTGTTCTGTATTGTGAGCTCTCAACTGCGACAGATGCATAGTATGGCGCAATGCTTTCTCGACCGTTGGTCGGACCATGTGTAACGTGTTCTGCGCCGCGTCGAAGTGGCCTGCGATGGTGCCTGGCTAAGAGTCGCTTGATAATACATCTCCCAAAATCCATCTTACTTCGTGAAAATCGTTCGAAAACTTGCATTGACTATCCCTTCTGCTGAAAAAGTGTGTCGCAGTTTTCGATGTTCGTGTGTGTTCTAACGGTGTAATTTGTTTTCCCTTACAGCCGTTCGGGTAAAATGGAATCCCTTTTTGCGGGAACTGGAAGACCGCTTCTTCATATCCAAAAGACTCCCATAAATGAACTTTACTCGGTGACGGACACGGTTCTAGGTTTGGGAATAAATGGAAAAGTAGTGGAATGCATTCAAAGGAAGACAAATCAGAAATACGCCCTGAAGGTACGACTTGACTTATTCATGGGAATCATCAGTTGAATATCTGATGCTTGAACCGTTCGTACAGATTTTGAGAGATAGCCCTAAATCGAGGCGGGAAATTGATCTTCATTGGAGAGCTTCGGGATGTCGCCATATTGTTCCCATCATCGACGTGTTCGAGAATGTGTACAAGGATCAGAAGTGCTTACTCATGGTTATGGAATGGTGCGTATACTGAGACCTTTGCTTTCATGTAAGCAGCGCAATGTACCTGATTGAATTTACGCTCGTAGCATGGAAGGCGGAGAACTGTTCCAACGTATTCAAGAGCGCGAAGGAGCATTTACGGAACGAGGTGCGATCTCCGGCTGCGATTCGAAAAGCAAGACGTTTTTTTCTACTTTCGTACAAACTTATTCTCTATCTTCTATTTGCAGAAGCTGCTGAAATCATGTACGATATATGCATTGCTGTGAAGCACCTCCACAGCATGAACATCGCTCACAGAGACTTGAAGCCAGAAAATTTGCTTTATTCTAATAAAAGTGGGTATCTCATTTTGAGAAAATTGGTACGTTCACGGAATTTGTCCGTCTGCTTTTCAGGCGTTACTGGAGTGTTGAAGCTTACTGATTTCGGATTTGCCAAAGAAACTTTTTCAAAGGATTCTCTTGCCACGCCGTGCTATACTCCATACTATGTTGGTGAGTATCGAGTGCAGTATTTTTGACGGAAGATATAGAGTGATTGACATTGTTCTTATATTCGCAGCCCCGGAAGTTCTGGGAACGGAGAAATACGATAAAAGTTGCGACATGTGGTCACTAGGTGTGATAATGTACATCCTGTAAGCATATCGTCAGCTGAATGATCGTTACCTGGCCTAGCCTTGAATTATCTTTTTTTCTGTCTTAGGTTGTGCGGATTCCCTCCCTTTTACAGCAACCACGGTCTAGCCATTAGTCCAGGAATGAAAAAGCGGATCCGTGCGGGTCAATACGACTTTCCCAATCCCGAATGGCGTGATGTTAGCAACGACGCTAAGGACCTAATCCGCGGACTGCTCAATACCGACCCAGAGAAGCGTTTTAGCATCGAATCCGTGATGAACAACCTGTGGATTTCGGTAAGCTTTCGCTTCGAAAGTTGCTCTTTCATTTTTTGTTTATTATTCTGCGTAATCAATTTTACTTGATGTTTATTCTGCGACTTTATGAGGAGCGACCTACCATCTGCCTGCCGTAGTTTAAACGAGGACATAAAAAATCCTTCAGAAAAAAATAACCGATTCTATGCATACTTGCATTCCGAAGAAAAAATGAGCTGCCATGTGTCGAAAAATCGAATAATTTGCCATTTTTCTGTATAAAAATGCACACTAGTACATTTGGCCGAAGGCCCAACAGTGCCCCGTTAATTTTTTAAGCATCTTGAGCTTAAGTTCTCTTCATATCCTTTCAATTGTTAACCAGTTATTTACTTGATGCCGGCATTTCTGAGTTTCTTTTCGTCGCATTTAGACTCACGAAAGGAATGATTTTACTGAACTCTTCTTTGATCGCCGAGGTCGAAAAATAAAAGGAAGTTGAAACTTGAATCGCTTTAGAGTGACCAAGCCCCGCTCTCAAGTCTAAATTGATTTTGACTTAAGACTAAATGAAGGGTTGCTCGTCGTACCGATGAAACTCTTGTACACTTCTAGATTGCCAGAATCAAAGCATCCGTTTGGTTTTTTTAAATTATTTAAAAAGGAATATTGACCACTTTCAGAAATACATGGAGGTACCTATGACGCCGCTTTGCACAGCACGTGTGCTGAAAGAGGAAGTCGCACAGTGGCCCGAGGTTCAAGACGAAATGACTCGTTCGCTGGCCACCATGCGAGTGGATTACGATCAGATCCACCTGAAAAACCTGGACAAAACCAACAACCCGCTTTTGCAAAAGCGTAAGCGCAAAGAAGATGCCGTGATGGTAAAGTGAAAGTTCTTTTGAAGTGAACGTTGCTGTACTTCGCGCAAGCTCGGAACGTTCTTTTGCGACCATGTTTTGAGTAAGTTAAATTTCCTGTGAGCCGGATCGACCACCCCGACCTGAGTGAATGCAGCCCGCCCGATTTCCGCGTTTTAGCCACGGAATCGTATCCTTGATCCGGGCTGTATTCTTTTTCTCATGCCTTTGGCTCACGTGTTTCGAGGTCAGGTCGTGAAGTCTCCAGTTCCTCTCCGTCTTCTTAACGAATGAAGTACGAACTGAATCGAGTATTGTTTTATTCATCGAATGAGTAGTGGAGGAATTTTTTTTGTAGTCTTCTAACTGAGCCTTTGTGTGCGGATTTTTACAACCGTGACCCACATTGAACTGGACTAAAAGGAATGACGAGCTTCGATTTTGCTCAAGCGTAAATCTTTCAGGTTTCATTTATTCATGACGGTTTTTGTAAAGTGACCATTTGTCGTAAGTTTCTGTTCGCCATTCCGCTGAAATCAGCTGTGGTCTTAATTTGTCCGGACTGACGAGGAAGGAAATTGACTTCAGTGGAGGAATATTACTACTTTTTCGTCCGTATTCGGTGATACGCGAGGTATTGTACAGTTTGCAGTTTACGTGTTTATTTGTGTTTATTAGTGTCTCAAGGAGTTGACCTTCTACCGCGAATGTTTCGATTTCTGTGTATGATACGCTTTTGATTCTTTTTTAAGACGGAGGAAGATCCCAGGATCGTTAAAACAGGGTACAGTACTTGCACTCAAGCTTAAACTATTTACTATGACTGGGGTAACTTGCATATTTGCGAAATGACAGGCTGTGATCCACAAGGAACTTGCTGGTAGATATTCCTTTTAGACGTGATCCAGTGCTTCGAGTAATGACGTAGTCATTTTGAAACTTGGTGCTTCTTCCAAATCATGCCTTGATTTTTTCCCCAATGTTTGGCTTAAGCGTGTCTAAGCCATGCTGCATCTTGGACTGGGGAAGGAAGTTGGGCTATGAACGTGTCGAAGTGAGGCAGACAGTTTGGGATAATTGAAAGGAACGACAATTTTTCGTTTGATCGACTTTGGTCACATTTATAAACGTTTTCTAACTTCACCCAACTGCAATGGTAGTCAGTTCAGGATAACGCGAATGGAAATACTGTATCTAGGTTTTCGGGGGCTCAAACCCAATGAGTATTTTATTGTCCGAGTCGAAAACTTGTGCGAGGGCTGCGAGTAATCCTAAGAAAACGTGCGAAAATCTTTAAACCCGTCCTCCAACAGTCCAACTTCTACTACAGCACTCCAATACTGTTCGCTGAAGTTAATTTTAATAAAAAATTTCGCGATTTCCCGTCATTAAACCATCATTTTTCCTTTTTATTCTGTTCTTGCTTCAGATGTCTGCTTCCTGAAGTGGAACATTCCCGACGAACAGCTCAGGAATGATTCCCCCCCCCCCTTTCATGACCAGTTCCGCTTGAAATCTAACGTTTCTAAGAATTTTGACGGGTCTGATGTTACTGGAACACTTCGAACACGCGGTATGAGGTCCAAAAGATTCTCGCACATTGAAAAAGATTCAATGGAAAGAGAAGACCGTACAGTTTTCACTTGGACTGGCTAACAGCCCCGTCCCTGGTCCCAGTAAAAGGAAGACCCAAGGCCCGATTTGAAAAAGAACCGAAACCTCAACTGCCGACGTTGTTGGTTTTCTTATTTTTTTTTTCAACTGGCTTTTTGCATTCAGCGTAGAACTTGTGTATTTTAATTTTTTTTGGTCATCAGTTGTGCTAATTTGTGGTGAACCTGGAGAAAATCAAGCAGTTGCAAATAAAGAAATCTTGTATTGTATATGTATAGGACCAGATAATTTTCTAAACATTACTGGATAAAATGCTGGTGAATTGGATGAGTTTTGGTTTCATTCCATGTAGTTGATGAGTGGTTTCCCTTGAATTCCAAAGTTTGCTTCATTCATTTCTGCTCGGAAATGTCCCTCAGACGGCAAACCCAAGGCCGAATTTAGTTCCGATGATCATAACTCGTGTCAAAGAGTCGTGTTATTGCAAGTGAAGCCGCTCATTAATTTCAGTTATCGAAAAAAGTTTCATTTGAATGTCGCTCGCATTTGTGATTCATAATTTTTCCCCTCGACAGGTTGATCAAACTTCCGTTTGAAAGTACTGTACTATGAATAGACGCAAAATTAAAATTTTGCATTGTCGTGTTTTTCAAAACTCACTGTGAATGAGCTCATTTCAAAGGTTTCTCGAATCACCGTTGGTGAGGAATTCCGGAACTCCTTAACCCATGAATCGTGAAAGATGATGGATGTGATCGAAGTACAAGAGGAAACTCCGCTCACGGACTCTGTGAATCTCACACTGAATGTCCCTTCGGATCAGGCCATAGGAAGAAGAGTAGTCGCAGAACTCGCGTCTGCGGTCCGATCTCTTCTTCGACGTCATGATTCTTTCGATGGTGACGATGACGGGTATACGTTAGGTACTGGCGTTCTACGTCTGGGTAACGACGAAGATACATCGAAGCTGTGTTCAGCATTGGAGGCGCTCTTCTTGCACGGATTGAAAAGTGGACTGATGACGCAGTTGTCCTGGTTGTTTGCTAAAGCGGCTTCCGGAGCTGATACTCCTACACCTTGTTTTTGGGACCTACTCTTAGCGCATTCACACAGGGATCTTGTTAAAGAGGTTGGTTTTGGCATTTTATTGCTCTTGTGAAGAAAATATGTTACGCTTTTATCCAGCTGTGCTGTATTATGTAAGGCTGGATTCCCTAGTGGAATTTCTCAGCCTCAACTTAATTCCGTGTGTTGAACAGGTCGCTGAATTGCGCGATTCTCATCGGTAATATCTTTCGAGGTGATGATTTTGCAACACTTCCATTTGTCATTGATTCAAAAAAATGAAAGAAAAAACGGCTTGAAGGCCCATAACTACCTATTTTATTAGTCAATCACAATTCTTTTGGAAAAGCTGAAGAGTTGGTGTGTGACTTCGCGGTGATTGCCTGAAAAATCATTGTCAGTGCGATAATGTGCTCTCACACGCCAGTTCGTTGAGTGAGAAGTGTTATAAACGCTTGGTGTCCGGTTTGTGGTGAAATGTGTTTATTTTATCAAATTTCGAAAATTTCTGTTGCATTCAGTGATTTATTGAACGATTTCAACTTCAAAGGTGTCGTCTTTGAATCAAATTCGGACGGACGTTGGTCGTTGTCGTGCCTGGATTCGTCTGACGTTGAATCAAGCGACGCTGCACAGTTACTGGGACGCGATAGCTCGTGATGGAAAGGTTCTTCGGATGCACTATCTTCCACACGCTGTTCTCCGTGATGCTGACGCGCCTGATATCGTTTCCCGTTACCTTCGCGCCGTGGACAAACTGAGGTTCAACGTTGCCCCGAATTCTTCGCTGTTGAATCAATGGACTCCTGCCCCGTTGGTGCTTAGCGGTTGGGCTCCTGCTCCTCCGACACCACTTGCGCCCGGAGTTGATGTTGCCGCTGAACCCGACTTGGTTGGGAAAGCGGAGAGTATTGTTTCGAGGAAGAAACGTGACGAAGTGAAGGGAAAGAAAGAAGAGAAACCCAGGGAAGCAATAAGATCCTGTCCTGTACCCTTGAAGATTTACGACGGGACGAGCATTGATGCCGATTTGGAGTCACGGGTCGCGCAGCAATGGGCTGAAGCGGACTTGAACCGACCATCGGAACAGGTTAGAGAAATAGTTCACGGATTATCTCGACAATATATTTTTTCTTGGCGTTGACAATGTCTGTCAACAGTTATTAATATGATGCAAAAAATATATTGTTGGATAGATAATTCGTTATTTCATCTTTTCTTTGAAATAATCCACAATAAGTTTCGAAAAAAAAATTAGCGTACGCTTCATATTTTGCCAGGTATGTTCTTTACTGAGTTGATGCCCATTTTAGTCTCATTTCGATGCTGAGAATGCGGAAGAACTTTGAATAAATGCTATCACTTCAGAATTTCTCAAAGCAGAGCTCCTCGTTAACCGATTTTTGAACCTTGAAAACCAGACTTAGGTTTTCTGGTCCAATCTGTCAAGAAAATATGATTCGTAGATCCGAAGATTAATTGTATGGTAATTCACTGTTCTGCTAAATTTTGGCTCGTCAAAATGACCTTCAACCATGCGCCCAAAATAAGGAATGTAGAAAACGTGCTCCTTTTTCGAATATCATTTTTATTCGTTTGACAAGGATTTTGTGTTCTTGAATGATTTATTTTCGGGCGTAAAGCTTTTATTATGAGGGGTACCTGAACACTTACTAAATTTTCTGTCGTTTTCATTGATATTTTCGGGCTAACGCTGAAGTCTGTGTTCGGAGAAAATTCGGATTCAATCTTTCTCAGTTGTCCATTAGGGAATTTATTCACTCTAGTATATTACTTAACTCTTGTCGGACAAAAATTAGGAAATATTTCTGATCGCGAGGTTGTTCTTTTCTTCAGGAATCATGTACCAAAACCTCCTCGTCAACAATTGATATAAATCCGCGCGTTTGTGCTTCGTCATTCGAAACTGTTGGCGAATACGATCAAGTTTCCCGTTCGGAAATGTGTCGAAGTATGTCTTCTTCCGCCGCCTCTTCGCGGACGAGTGCAGTGATGGTGTCACACGTGTCAATGTTCCCCGGAATCAAGCACGTCATGGACGAGTCTTACGACAGCATCGTGCAAGACTATTCTCGCACCGTCGTGTCCATGAGACCTGCATCGATAATGGGCACTCCCGAATTTCGCGAGTTGCTCAGTCCCTCGATTGCAATCGGGCCTCCGAGTCGAGAATCTCCTGTGGAGGATGTTCCGGTGATTCCTACGACTGGATCATCGCCTGAGGACGAGGTTAGTAGGCATTTGCTCGTGTTGGACGATATTCTTGGTGTTCGACCCGCTTTTTATTCAGTTTTCTTTAATTCCAACTGTGTTGAACTCATAGCAGCGACAGTCATTTTTCGTGAAGGTAACTATTCTTCAGGGATATCGCGAAATATTGAAGTATCTTTCGTATGACGGGCCAAAGTACTATTTGTATGGGGTGTTCAAGAAGTTCGATTGCGATGGGAGAGTATTCGTTCTTCTGTGGGAATTTCAGATGCAACGTATACCGAAGGGCATCGAAATTGGTCAGAATATGCCAGCAATGTTGGGAAGAATTAATTTCGCAGAATAAATAAAGAAGGCCCTAATTTTGTAAATACATGTTTTTTGAACCCAATGAAACCGCCTGTGTTACTGTCACTTTTTTTGGCTCGTGAAAAGTCCAGAATCAGATGGAACTTTCATGAATCGCGACCCTGACTTCCACAGTCATCTACACTTTTTTATGGTTCTGGTCTATGTCAAGGACAGTGTGGGAAAATGTATCTTTTGGAAGTTCTGTATCACATGTTCTTGATGCCCAGTTACTCATCAGATTCCCTTTTTATACTAGTGTCAATTGTGGATTATTTTCAGTTTTTGGGAGGCTTACTGCTATCGTGAGTGACAGCAAATTAGATTAATCCTTTTTTGTGTCGTGATTTGCAATTGTTTTTGTATAAACAGAGTTTCACAGCTCTGCTTAGAATAATTCTTTAGTTGGAATTGAGGTGTTTGATTTTCTTGCATGCAGCTGAGTTATATGATGATACCCGCGATGGATTCCGATAGCAGTTCACGTGATTGCCTTCGAGCGATCATCAGTGGCCACGAGGGTACCAATGCTGGAGGCAGAGTGCATGGCGAGGTTTGTTCTCTTGCATAGTTGCATGTCAAGATGAATTTATTTTAATTGTTTTATTGACGGGTTCATTATTCCTTTTTGTGGTGGAGATCCACGAGCTTGTTCGCATGTGGTAGGCAATTTCGTTTAATGACGGCCTGGGCACTTGTAATGCAGGGTATTGATCTCTGGCGCGTGTGGGTAATTGGTTATCTACGTTGGATGGACGGGTGAACCGGCTTGTTTTTGTTCGGGTGACGATTTGATCTCGTATTATGTGTTTCGCAGGATGGATGGGAGGTTGTGAAGGATGAAGGAGTTGGTGAGCTGGGGCTTGTTAAGATTCCTCGTGAGGAAGATCTGAGTGGTGATGTGGAATGCGTTAGTATTCTTGCTCCGACTGCTTCAATTTTAAAATTCAAGTATTTTTGAGTACTGAGACTCTTCCGGCCAAAGATTACTTTGCAGCTTTCTTGCTTCCAAGACGAAAGCGACAGTATTTACTTGCAGAGAATCTTGAAATATTTCTGAATCACATGATGCCCGAAAACGTTCGGATGGGCTGTTTTCCTTAATCAGAATTCTCGTAAATCCATAAAAAATTCCTTGAAATATTCGAGACTGAAAAGAAGAAGAAAAGCCAATTGTTGCTTCTGTTTTTTAGTCTCCAGAATATTACATGAAACGAATGGGCGTGATCTGCCCGGAATCTGGTCTGGATAAGGAGAATTTTCAATGCAAAGCATGTCGCCGACCGGTGGGCATGATTTATGGAAAAGAGAGGTTAGTTGTTCGGATTTATATTGATTCTAAAATTATGTTTTTGGTCTGATGGTTATCGGCGCGTTACTTCGTGCTTACTTTTCTTGAGCCTTTCGCGAGATTTGAAAGACTCATTTGAAGAGATTTTCTGGAGCTTTTCTACCGCACTCATCAAGCTGTTCGAAAAAAAAATTCACCCGATATTGAAGGAGGCTCTACAACAAAATTCGACGGATCAGAAAATAATTCGTTTTTGAGTGACTAATGTTTTAGAGAATCCCTATGACATGGATAGAGAGCCATATGGGCCAGAAAAATCGTTTAAAAGAGAGTCTACCTGCATTTCAGTTCGTTTGGAAGAGATTTTACTGTCATCCATGAGTACGGATTTTCTTACACCTAATCCGCATCAGTGAACAAAATTACGCATACAACGTCGGTTTCATTCTCATAGATTGTGCAAGATGGATGGAAGGTACTACTGTTACGAGTGCCATGAAGGGGCGACTGCAGTTATACCTGCCAGAGTTATTCACAATTGGGATTTTAATCAGTATCCGGTGTCCAACAATGCTCTGGAGTTCCTGCGAGATGTGAATAGCCGACCGGTGATAGACCTCAAAGTGTTGAATCCGTTGTTGTATCTCGCCTTTCCAGATGTTGAAGCCGTGAGGGTAAGCCGCTTTTGGTAAATTGATGAAATGGGATGATCAGCTTCGTGCATACGTTGTGACAACAGCGGTTAAAAAAGGATTTAATCGTTATTAGATCAAACGATGCATTTCACCGAGTCGTAGACTTTAAATTCCGAAATGTTGGCAGAAAGGTTCGAATACAGGAAAGCAAAAGGGGGGGGGGGGTATGTCGTGACCTAGAGTTCTAGACGCTTTCTCATTTTTCTAGTCGCTAAAAATTTGAAACGACGCTTGTGTCCGAAAGAAAGTGGTATCAGCCTCGTGACATAAATTTATTATTGACTCTTCCGGGAAGAAAGGAGAAGTCTTGTAATGTAAACGTTGAAAGTAATGCAGTACTTGCAGTTTCCAATACTGTATGCCAAAATTTGAATGTTCTCGTGAGATTTTCTCCCTTTTCCTTAATCGCCCTTTTTAGAAAGTTTTCAGAATTTCCTCTTCAAAACTCCGGTTCAACTTTGTTGTTCATAACCTGTTCATAACCACGCTGGTCAGTCAACGAATGAGTCATCACGTAATAAGCTATTTCGAGTGAATGTTTTCTAAAATATTTTGCCCTTTATTCACCCACTGCAAATTTTTTGTGTTCGCACGATTTTTTGCATTGTGGGTTCTGTTGTTTATCGGTGAGACTGGCCGGTTGCTCTTGTCGTTCACTTCTAAGTCTTAGATTTTACTTAATGCAGATTTTGCGGATCCAATTGAGCTACATCCGACTGTACCTCTTCTCTTGCCGAGACTCTTATATTGCCCAGCAGTTCAGAAGCAAGCTGTGGCCGAGGGATCATCTTTATGAGCACATCAACTTATACTCCGTTTTTGTAAGTTTTTTTTCAATTGTCTAAGCAGAACGAAGGAAAGAGGTGTGCTTTCTTTTCAGGACTTGACTCAAATATATCACGGACAACTGCAACCCATTCTCAAGAAAGCTCTTGCATTTGGCGAGCAGCACGTTAAAAATTGTGACTTATGCCGTACCAAAGGATTCATATGTGAGATCTGCCGAAACCCCCAAGTGATATTCCCGTTCGAAACGATCAAAATTTACAGAGTGAGTTCAAGTCTGGAATCTGGTAATGTTTATGATGATTTCTTATTTCTACGACGTATTTGCAGTGCGAGCAATGCAGATCCGTTTACCATGAAAACTGCATGTCCACTCGAGGTCCATGTCCAAAATGTTTGCGTTTGGAAATGAAGAAAGAAGCGGCACTCGTGGAATGATTTTGAACGTCGTGAGTTTTTTTGTTTTTGTTTTTTTTTTTTTTTTTGAGTGAAGTTTACGTGACCCGTTACTTTCTGGCGAAAGCCATATTCTGTGATGTGTGAGGCCGTGTCGCGCGAGATCGCTGTTTGACATTTTTTGTCATTGTTCATGGGAGAATAGTTGTAAACATTACCCTTATCAAAGGAAGTTTTAGCACGTGAAATGTGCTAATTGCATTTGTTGGGATGCGTTGGAAATGAATGAACTGATTCGAAAAATATCTCCTACTTCCCATCTTATTCTGTTCAGAAACTGGGTTCAACTCTTGTATTGAAATGGAATCGTTGAAAACAGTATTCAGAAGAGTTACTTTGTAAGTGATGGAATATTTTTTGAAATTCATTTGATTACATTTTACGTTCCTATTTCGCCCATGATCAAATTAACTTTGAGGGGGATAGATTTCATTTACATTCAAATTCACAAGATTATTCCTGTTGCATTTTTACGTACCACGAAAGTTTGCTTGGTTGGGTTCCCTGAAAAATATTTTACGACTAATTTTTTTTTAGTAAAAAAAATAAGTCCACTACACGCAATTGTTTTTAGATCTCCGCGGTATTTATTCAGCACGAAGTTCGAAGCACTTCTGCTTGAATTTATTTTCAAAAAATTGGAAACATACGAAGTTTTACATTTTCACTGCGCAATAATTTTTAGGCAACGCGTTCGAAGTCGCAAATTTGTTAACGCGAGCGAAATTCGTCCAAACTTCTCGAATGTACTGTTATTACTTTTATTCGTTTTTTATCACTTTTTTATTGTGCTAGCATCTTATGTCATTATCGGGATTACTTTTAAGATGATTGAAGGTCGCAAATCTTGCAATAGCCGCATCGCTGTGGTTGTTGTACTTCACGAAAATTTTTCTTCTTTAGATGATCTAAATTGTTATGAGAGGGATGATTGTTGAAGGAGCCTTTTCAAGGTTGCAAAATCTGATTATCAAAAATGGGACCTTTGCTTTGTTAATTCTTTTTTCAGAATTACCTATTGTACTCCTTACAAAATTGATCATTCTTTCCCCGCTTACTCAACTTATCTGTGTCTCTGCTTGATTTTCATTGTGATTGTCGATTGGCCAAGAGGATCTTACCCATTACTCTTTCTTCGTCCGTTTTGCCCAAAAATTTGTTTTTAAAATTTTTCCCCTTTCGCAAGAACCATGGTTGTCAGAAGTAAAAAGCGCAAGAATCAAAACAATATAACGAGTTGCAATTCTCCACTGATTCAGCTAAACGATAATCCCACAGTCTGTGTGACTGATGCGCATTCCCCGGAAGCAGAATTTCAGCGCCCTGCCAAATCCGGAGGCAACAAGTTGAATGCTTCCAAAACTGATGAAGTCCCAGTCGATGAAGACGGTCCTTGGCTTTACAGCACCAGAAGCAAGAAGACTAAAAACCTTTTCAAAAATTCGAAAGTTGAGTCTTGTGATGGAGACCATGTCTGCCACGAGAAAGTTCACTCGTCTCAGACGAGTCCTGTGGTGATCAAAAGAGCTATCAGTTCTGTGCACCCCTTGCGATGTATCGCGCCACCGAAGGTTCTTGAAAAGCTTGGAAATGTCTCGAGGAATCATACTTTCATTAGCAGTATATTGAAGAAACCCGCGGAAATATCCATGACTTATGCCGAGGTTTGCAGAGGTATCAAGGGATCACAATCCGCGATCGCTGTTACGAATGCAGGAAACGAGGATGTGGCGGCTGAAAATCAAGTTGAACCGGAAGTGAATGCGTCCACTCAAATTTACGAAGTTACTCAGATAGTCTCCAGTGATACAGATCAAGTTTCCGCCGAAGAGCGTCTGAGTGACCCTTTTAATGTGGAAGAAGTTCCTCATTCTGTTTCCGATGACTACCTGAGACCCGTTGAAGAACTAGAGTCTTACGAGACGTTTGCAGCTGCAGCAGAAAGTCCGCTGAGAAGGACCCCTGACAAAGCGTTAGACGTTGAAGATGGAACTCCGAACGAAGATGACATCGTGGAAGATGAAGACTTCGCTTGTATAGAGACTGAGGAGCTAGATCATCCCTGCATAGCTAATAACCAAGTCGCGTCTACTTTGCGTGAAGCCTTCATCAATGTAACCCATGTGGAGGCATCATTTACTACCCAACAATCTAACCAGGAATTCAGTTTGCCTCAACACATGGACGTGCGTTGGATGCAAAGTCTAGATCCGGTTTTCGAACCCGCTTCCACCTGGGGTACTTCGCCTCAAGACAAAATCCCGGAAACGGAAGACTTCAACAACTCGCTTGATGAGCCAGCGACTTTTCTATACTCTGCTCCGTATCCGGTTTGGGGAACTTTCTCTCACGATTTGATGGAAAACCCAAGTTTGCCCTGTATTGCGGATTCTGCGACGCAAACTGATATCCAGACTACTGAAGTTTTGGAGGAGGATCTCTGTGAGAACCAGCAAATTCAAGGGCTCTCCATTCCTCCAGGATTCGAACACGTTATCGAAGAGGATTTCGACGCAGATCTTTATTCCAACAACGTTGGACAGGATGAATTAGAGTTCAACTTGTTCGAGCCTTTCTCGAAGCAGACCAACGCTGGAGGTACAGATTTCCGCGATCTTCAGTCCTTCAGAATTTTCTATTTTAGAAATATTTCTGTATCAATATTTTGAAACTTTGTAAAGCGGTAGAACTTTGATTAACCATTTCCGTCACTGAAACCTGCGGTTTTTTCACGAATGGGTAACCTTGCAGCCCACGTCTCGAATCCAAATTCACATTACGCCATTCGGTATGTGTGTATTTTGAAAGTTTTTTGATAGAACAGGCGTGTTTTCGTTTTTATTTTAAATTTGTCAAATTATGCTTTATTTGTTATGTTCCTGAATTATCTTCCCCTTGACATAATTTCAATTACTGTCAATCCGAATTGAAGCGAGCAAGCATCAGGCCAATTTGAAAGATTACGATGATACTCGTATTTTTTATATTTTTTATCAATTGTCACACCGTGCATCGTGTGAATGTTGGAGATTATTCCGATTCTCGGGAATGCTGTGAAATGTTCTTCGAATGCTTTCAGTTTAATATCGCATTGAATTAAGTTCTCGAGCGTGTGTGTGGCGTCCCTTAACACGAAGATGTTGTTTTGATTCAAGGAAGAAATGAAAACGCTGCAAAACGTTCGTTCAGCAAGCCGTACCAGGCGCCGAGACATCGGTAAGAAAAAACATTTGGTGTTGTGGTGAATTGAAGACCCAGATGAGGAATAACAGGTCTTCTGTAGACGCCAGCCGAAAGAGAATTCGGTGGGATGGAACCGACACGAGGGCTGCGACGCGTCGACTTCGACAGGGCAGCAACAATGGAATTGTGGCGAGAATAAGTTTAATTTGTCTTCGCTGAATCCCGAGCTTCAAGCTGTGCCGACTGTTTGCCCACCCGGCGGTGCCATCGTCTATTTGAAGGGTGTGTTTTACTGTTTTAATTTCATCATGGAAGACTTCGTAATTTCATGTTCCTGTGCTCAGATTTTATTCCTTGAGCGGCACCTTCAAGATAACGCGAGAGATTGCTTAATTTTGAACGTAAAATATTTAGAGATGCTCCGTATGTGAAATTGTTGACCATGAGAAAGTCTCAAGTTACTTGGTTCGCATCGTTTTAGCCGGAAACATAGCGGATGTTTTGGCGTTGCCCACGAACCTTTTCCGGTGCCAATGCGGAAAGGATGGTTGCAATCGAACTTTCCAGCTAATAGACACGAGCTTGCTGACCCACTCTAAAGCTGTCCAAGCACACAGTTACATAGCTTTCGGAGACAAGAAAGACGCTCGTGAAGTTGTGCGCCGACTGGGCGGCAGAGGCTGTCACATTCGCTTGCTTGAAGAACCTGAATTGGATGACACTAAGATCTACGTGGCAAATTTGCCGCCCAGTGTGACCGAGAAAGAGATTAGCTATGTGCTGAAAGACGTGGGCTTGGTGTCTTCTGTGAAAATTTTGCGCGATTCGAACGGAGTGAACCGCGGAGTAGGGTTTATCAGAATGTCCACGGAGGATCAGGCTGTGGGTGCGATTCAGTTTTTGCACGATCGGGAGCTCATTGGCTGTGATCTGCCCTTGCAAGCGCGGTTGGCGTACAAGTACAGCAAGAAAGTGCAAATCGAACGGGCTTTGAAAACTGCCGTTGGAATCACCCAACCAGGTTCGCATTTTTTTTTATCAGGTGGTAAATTCGTTGCATCCCAAATGAGTTATCTGATCTCGTCGATTTCAAGGAGTGTATTCATTTGAATAGCTTGCCCCTTCATCACCCCCAGAATTAACTGCGGCATGTGTAACTGTTCCGTGACGGGATTTAAATTGAAATTACGGTAGACTCACGAAATAATCAAACTGCTTAGATTCGCATGAGAAATCCTTGTTTCACAGATCGCCTAGAAATGTATTCTCTTTAATAATTTTGATAATTCATCGCATCTTATGTAAGAAAGAATCATGGAACTTGATTGTATACTTTTAATCGAAGTGTGGCAAATGCTTTTGATAGCAAGATTAAATTTCTGAACCTTCGAAAAATGTGAGCTCTCATCAGTTGATGAGTTTGTGTTGTCTTGTAGATACGAGCTTTGAAATTACCTTTGTCGGTCAACTGTGTGAGGTTAATTGCGTTTTGTAAAGCTTTTTGTGTTATCCGCCGAAATCCGCGCTTATGGCCCGTTTTTCTTTCATTTAAAAAAATTTCAGAAAACTGCTTAGATGCCAAAGAACAGACGAGGCCGCCGCCCGAGCCTCAGAAAGCATTATGGAGAAGTAAACCGGGTAATTGGCGAGGCCACTCTCCGATTCAAGTGGTCCGGAGCGCGAAGTCCATGAACAATGCCCGGGGTCGACACTATCCCCTTTCTAATTTACCTTTACGCGATGACGAGTATGAACTGGCTTACCCGCCGATCGACGCGAATCCTCGGCGAACTTTTAACAAAGACCCGGAGACTGCGTTGCACCAATTGGTGCCGTGTGGGAAACCGACCGGCTTTTACCAGCGTCGGACCTTTTGTCACAAGCCGCAAAAATGATACGAAAAAAAAAATCCCCGGTCTCGTTGATTTTTTCTAACTATAATTCGGAATAGATGCGTCGCTCTTGATGGGTCGTTAATCGCTTTTTTTTCCTACCCCTGATGGTATCAATACATTTGAGATTCGTGCTTGATGGCACACTTGATTATTACTTTCGAATGAATTATTGAATTTTGTGAACGAGTTTCGGCGAGGCGAAAATTGAAAAGGTTCACTCATACGTTTTAAAAGTATGGTTGGTTATAGATTTTAATATATATTGTTGACCCCGTGTGGAAAGTGCGCCCCATTATTGCAAGGAAGGAAGGTTCAACAGCTGCATGTGAATACATGAAGAATTTGCTGGTATTCGTAAAATCTTGGAATATTTTAAACCTTTTTTTTATATTGTGCCGAAGATTTCCATCAATTAAAGCATTTAGATCTTCGGAAGCTAGCTTTTAATTCCCCGTGTGAAATTTATCGCGTATTTTAATAAGACTATGACTGTTAATCTGCAATAAATTGAAAGATTTAACCAATACGCGTAGGTATTCAGAGAACTTCATTTCAATCTCCAATACTTGGACTGGAAACAATCTTCGAATTGTTCCAGGCGTATTCGTGATATTTGCACAACTCTGCATTTTTCTTTCCGTGGTGTATTTCCGGATTTGGTCCCTAGTAGCCAATCCAGAAGTCAAGATCAATTTTAGGGATCTTGGACGAGGAGCATGGGGTCTTCAGGTTCCTTCGAAGTGAATAGCATCGTTAGTATTTTCCGTTCGGGATTGTATTATGTCAATCCTATTTACCAAGGATTGTTGGCCATCCTAAACGCCAACGGTGCGACTTCACCGATGTCGGAATTGTCGCATAGAATTCTTGCAAAGCTCGTTTTTCGCTTGATCTCGTTCAGTTGACCTGCGAATTGACGCAGCAAATGGAATCTTAAGTGGAGATTCTAGCGAAAATTCGAAAAATCTGCTTACGCAAGCTGAAAGACCCAGCCTGATTTCCAAGCTCGTAGAAATGTCTGTCGGCCCGCTTGAGCTTGGCAAACATGTCCGAGATTATGCAAGCAAAAGTGTGACCGACTGTCCCACCAGGAACTGACGTTTCGAAAAGACCTCCGACAAAGAGGTCGATATCGTCTGGGTGTTCATAGACGTATTGAAACCGGTATGCCTGAAATATGCAGTTAAATGATGTTTCTTTATCCCTTGTCGCTTTGCCTGATTAACCTTTGCGTTGACAACCCTCGTATATGTAAATACTGGATTTTTGAACAGAAAAATATAAATGATATTTCTTTTTATCTGAAAAACAGTGAATTGTCTCACGTGGATGGTTATTCTTCTTTTAAAAGGACGACTGCTGCGGGATTCGCAGTACTGTACTTCTACGAAACAGATTGTTCACACTAATCTAGTACCACAGGATTTGGATCAACGCTCTGAATCGCACTCATGCAACGGAACTCACATAGTAGTTCAGATTGGTCTCGTAGATGTCATTCCAGCTGCCCAAGGTTTTCAGACCACAAGCCTTGCGCATTTGGTTGTAAGTCGGGATTCCGTGATCTCGACCGCGTTGGATATTCAGAGCAATCAAGTCCATTCCGAAGGCGTTGCCCTTCTTGAAGAGGAAGTTCGTCAGCTGAAAAGACATAATTTGTGTGAAGTCGATCTGTTGGACATTCTCCTTGTTCTTGAAACTTCTGACGTACTGTTGTTCATATTCCTCCATCGAATGATATCCCATTCTTATAGTGTTGGATGCCTTATCTTGAATTTAGGTAATACACTGCTGTACTGTATTACGTTTGTCAAATACACGTTACGCACATTTTCCGCATTTGTCACGGGAAGATACAGTATCGTGGGTTGCGGCTTGCGGGATGATGAAGATGCAACGGAGGGAAACAAGGTACAATATGTGACAACTTACGGGAAATTAAGTGTCCGTACGTCTTTCGACAGTCCTTGATAACATTCAATGAAATGGCCTTTACTTCTGTCTTATTTCAGTAACTTCATGTTTTATCTCTCTGTTGAATTTTTTTCTTGTAATATTTCTCCGTGGAGTTTTATTTCCCCGATAATCTTCTCCCGTGTGTGTTCATTCCTTCCCGGTATTTCCTCAAAATTCGTTGGTTAGGATTTTCAGATCCTAAATCGTTTGTTTTACTTGTTCAGAGAAACATGTGAATGCTTATATGTAATGGTAATGTACTTACGTCCTCGACCACGATGTTGTCGAACTGCTGCATCGGTAATTGAGAGAATCCTCGAATGAAGTTCTCTACGAAATCCGAGCGATTGAAAAGAGAAACGTCGTTGAAAAACTCCTTCAGTCGGATGCTTTCCCAATTGCCTGTACGTGAAATTGCTCTAGGAGAAAAGTAAACTGTCAGATTAAGTGATAATGTTCTTGAAGTTAGAGTGTGATGAGATTGTCCGAAGAGATCCGAATAATGGAAATGCGGAGATGAAATGAGACCCGGACAAATTTGGACTGATACGCGATGAATGCATACAACCAAATTCAACTCATTGGCGTTGACACGTCTGCATAATTAAGACCGAAGAATTATCTTTAGGACGGGGACCGAATTATCAATTCATTATACGGATAATTATGTTGAACAAGAACTGCTGATACATCACTGAACAATGTAGTACTTTCAAAAGATGGGTGTTCCCGAATTGCTCCTCAAAAATGTTTCAATTCCAGTAGACTGCGATTTATCTTTAAAGTTGGATTGGAAACCCTTGCTTACGTCTCTGTATGATGCACCAAGGTGTGTCCGAAACGAAACGCTGCGGTGGAAAATTCAACCGAAATGGACGGGTTGATGTTGGGATTGTAGTTGTCGACGTATCCGTGTCTGGTAGGGAACAAATCATAGGCATCCATGAACTGAGGTCCGACGATGAGTGGCAGCCATTCGTTGTAGACGATGTGGTTCATTTCTGCGATGACGAGTCTTCTGGCTTCCTGGAAAATCCGTTCGTCGTACCAACTCGGATTCCTGCTCATCAGGTCCTCAGCGATGCGGTTGTGCTCCCGGAGCCAGATCGTGTGCATCAAAGTGAGTCCCGGTTGCTCGTTCACTCGGTCGTCTCCTGCAATGCACATTCATTTCGATTGTGTCCGTATTTGAAATCCAGATGCTTTAAATCGTTTTTTTACACTCTCGAGGGTTTTTTACGCTGATTTCGGAAATCTGTTCCGAACGTAATCGACTGTTACGAGACTGAACAACAGCATTTCGCTCACATCGCAAATATTTGAGCGATCCTATATTTCTTACTTTGTCCGGGTTCCACTAAAGACAACGAATTGAACAAGTTAGTTACTGTGAAAGAACAGTGACTGGACTTCCCCGGTTAACTGAGTCATTGTATGTGTTAAGTTCAAGGTGAAGCCCTGAAAAACTCTTCTGCGCTTTGATCGCTTTTCCTCTGACTGATCAACCATAAAACGCAGGGAAAGCGTTGAACTTGGGACAATCAGGAAAGCGGCGTTCGGCCCGACGTTGAAGAATTTTTGATTCTCTCTTCACACTTTACCAGCAGGAATCACTCTCGTGGACGGGAAAAGAAAAACTTCCGAAAAATTTTGTCTATTGTAAGTTTGTGTATGACTTGGAATGTTTGGAGAAGTCCTGTGTAGTACAGTTATTAGGAATTGGATTTGACTTTATACCTGCTGTGAAGCACGCGACTTTGTTGGTGAAGGTTTTCGACGTGCATTCGCCGGAGACGCTGGACGCTCTTGGCAATTGTGATCGCCCGCAATTTTCCGTGGTTTTCAATTTTCCATGATAACATGTTCTCAAATTGTACGTTTCCCACCAATCAGATCCGTAAATGTTGGAGCCATCCACCCATGATGTGAGAATATTCATCTGTCAAATGGAAAACGAATTTAGAATTTTTTTTTTCCATGCAGTCAGTACAACTTTTGCTATCACTTGCGAGGTTGGTAACGCTGAAATGACCGATTCACAGGCACGTTTCGTTGTTACAAGGAATTTTCCCGTGATATTAGGAGAAATCAGAGAAATGCCTTTCTAAATACACTTGAAGAGTACTGTACGTGTGCCGCGTAGTAATCATGTTTAAATAGCGTTTTGTTACACTGGTGACGCGTTTTGTTGAACTGGTGACGTAACTCTCCCCAGGTCATTGGAAGGATTAAAAATCGGCAAATTACAGCTTTGTGAATCTCTGATGATGACCTTTCAGCAACTGCAGACATTTTAAAGTTAAAGTTTAATGGCAAGTCTGTCGTCAAAAGAGAATGGATGTTCGTCAAGAACGGAATCTTTAAAATCGCAGATATGATCACTTCATCTATACAGCTTGATTTGAAGAACATCCAATCTTTGCCAAGTCTTCGCAATTTATGTTCGGACTTGACAAAACTTCATATTCCGAAAATAGCGTTACAATAAACGGTTGTTATTATACGAAACTTGTATTGCCACTATATGGAACCTTTCTAAGTCGAACTTCAAGGGGCCAGCAAAAGAATCGAGTTAATCAAGTTCCGAGGTAGGGAAAAAAGCATTCGTGATGGGGAATGAAATGAAAATTGAAGGGCATTGTAATTTTGATATTCTAGACTTGAATGTCTTCTTAAATGAGTTGACAGGATGCTGAACTTGAAGACGAGGGTTTATTTGCCCGATTAGTCATTCACTTCAAAATACACGAAGTTCCACTTTTATTGCTTTTCCCGTTTCTGTGTCAAAAATAATAGCCAGATGGCCTCCAGAAGTTTCGAGTCATGGAGGTTTGAGGAAGAAATTCTTTGAGTTGAAGAGGTTTTAACAAGTTGTTTCTAAAGGGATTCAGACAAGGACTTGAAGAAAAATCATGTGAAAGGATATTGAGTGATGGAGGTTCAACCGTATAATGGCGAATGCCTTAAAGTCTAAGTTTCCACTCTATTTCCTTATTTGATTTTGACTTTATTTTACTACTTTATTTGATTTTGACTTTATTTTACTACTTTATTTGATTTTGACTCATCAATAGATTTTGGCTTTTGACTTATCTAGGCTTGCACATTCTTGATGCTGAACACTTCTATACAGTATAGGAAAGGACGCAGAAAAAAATGTTTTCAGGGAGCTTCACCTGATTTGACCACGAAGGGTCGCTGCTTTGTCTGGAAGCAAACGCAGATCGCACGAATTCCATGCATTTCTGTTTGTGAGTGTAGTAAAAGCCGTCGTCACCCGGAATCTCAATTGGGAAGCAAGCCTGATGCGGAGAAGGAACAGTGATGTTCCCGTCGGATGAGCAACATGCGATCGAAGATGCGTACGCAGATGCTATTCTCGAGGCAAAAAGAAAAACACCAAGTTGTGAGTCGAAACGTTGATTGAATATTTTGAGACTTGGGAATGCTTATGTACTGCACAGTAGAACACGTCTAATCATCATCGTCGCTGATGATGAATCGGTGCCGAAGCCCATATAATGTACTACGGAAACATTTTACTGAACAGATCATAGCTTCAGCTNGAGGGATGATGAAGAATATTACTGACGCTTCGAAGGGCATAAGCCCGGATAATAAGTTCATTATAAAGGGAATGAGTGGATAATAGAAATATGAGCGATGCAACCTGTCTCATTTTCTGTGAATCTACAGTATAAAAATTTTGGCGCATGATTTTCAAGCGAATAAATAGCCCGGATAATTTGAGATCTACTTTGATGTACAGTATTTTGAGTTCTCAAAATGATTTCACTTTACGTACCTGTGTTGGTCAGGGCAGTTTTCGTCAAGTCGTGGTCCAGGAACTGACCGAATTGCATCAGGTAGAGGTTTGAGACGGGATCTTGATACCATTCGTAGGTGAAGATCGTGAAGGTGCTTATTTTTCTTGCGGATGCGAGATTTCTTCCATAAATGCCCAAAGTGCGCGGTGTAGAAATACCTGTGCAGAATTAATTTTTTTCGGGGTCATATGAATGTTATTGAAAGCATCGGTGACTGTTTCAAAGAAATGGAGGAGAAAAGCGAATGTCAGCAGGTACAGGAGTGTGAATCATCAAGCTGCCATCCATTATGTCAAAAGTTATTTATACTGTAGTTCAAATCTTCAAAAGTTATTGCTTCTGATTCCTGAAAAAAGTAGACAGCAATTCAGAAAATCGCCATGAATTGCTGTAACTATAGTACTTTGCCATAGACATGGAACTTGGAAAAATGGATTATGTATCATATGGACGATCCTGTGTGATAACTATTGCGTAAACATTTTTCAGAAGAGACCAAATCCCGCCGAATAACCGGGGAATCTCATTGTGATTGGCTTACAGAAATATGGGAATGGTTATATTTATTCTGAGATACCATTCATGTCTATTCATGTTTGAGTATTTGCGGAACGTTTTTGAGCCGTTAGATTATTTTGAAATGATTCTTCGCAGCGTGAAATTATTTTTACCATCTCGGTAAGTGGGTGTCAATAGGCGACCAGCGCCTGTTCTCGCTTTTCCCCATTCCCAGCGATTGACGTTGTTGCAGCTGCCGTCAGGCGTTCTGAATCTTGACGAGACCACTGATGAGGAACAGTAAGAGCTTTGAAACGTTTGAGGTCCATCGAGGGACGTGGAATTCTCTGGATCTTTCATCTGCAAGGATCCTTCCTCCATCCTGTTTCGTCACGCATGGGTAGAAGACCGTTGAATAATGATTATTATTTTTAAAATCTATTTTGTCAAACGACTTACTTTCTCAGAAGATATCGAGTTGCCTCTGCTGACACGAGTCCTTCCTTTTCCAGGTGTGCGATTTCCGCTCCTCGGGTTCGCATGAAAGCGTGGTGAGCGTGGGCTGGCGATTCTTTGTCTACCAGTTGAATGATTCCTTGGTCGATCATTTTCCTCTCTTCTTTAAACCGGTCATCGACGGATTTCACACCGTATTCCCAAGCTTCTTGGAGCTCCTCGTCGGCTACGTTTTGGAACCGCGTGTCTTCAGCATTCGGTAGGATGTCCATTTCTGTGTACGAGTAAAAATTGAAAAGTCGAGTTTGTCATTTTACAAATTATATATATTGTTGAACCTGCTACCTTTTTATTTTCGGTATTTTTTTTGAATTCCGAGTGAATACGTTTCTTAAAAAGTCATTAACTCTGGAAATTACCTCAGACTCTTTGCTGGACCGAAACGGAGTCTTTGTAAAATATAATGGGAAGTGGGGGATCTCCTGAAAGGGCATACGAGGAGGGTTGTCCCAGTTGGACTCGGCCTCTGATATTTTCAGAGTAGGTAAAATTGAAAAAAAAGATCATGACACAGCTTATGATGTTGTAATAAGGTTGTGGGATTTTTTCAACATCTTCGAAAGAGGTTTTCAATTTAATGCATGATGAGTGAAAACTTTCCAGTTACAGCCTTTGCTTGTGAATTATATTTTGTGTTTGGTTCATTTTTCCCCTTCTGATGTTTTCGTTTTTCCTATTTTTTCACTGTCTGCAGGAGGGGCAGTTAAAATGTGCTTGCAATACATGACAGCTTCCGTATTACAGAAACAGGAATACTCTAAAAGTATACTCTTATACTCTCTTATACTCTTCCTTTATTTTCTGTTGAATCTTCAACTGCTATATTCCTAAAATTGTTTTTGCCTGAAACCATTATTTTCCATCGACAAAGAGACTTGGTGCCATGCATTTTCTCGTCATTTTTTTTTTTGCTTTGATAACTTTCTTTTGTGAGGGGCACTCGTTTTGGGGATTTTCCTTGAAAAATGTATCCCGAATACCACGCGTACCCTGTTTTTCTGCCGGAATTTTTGGAGAAAATGGTGTGCGTGGTACTCGAATAAAAAAAGGTATGTCTTACTTAAAGCCTCGTATGCAGTAGGTCCTGTTTTCCTCTGGGTGCAACAGATGCCTTCTTCTCCGGAGGCCATGGAGCAAGTGCTTGGCGAGACCTTTTCCACTTCAAGCACGGACAGGGTTTTTATGCAAGCAACCGGAGGAACGCATATTCCGCTGGTTCCTTCGCTATCCGTACACTTGACGTCATCTTCTTCCGCGGTGAGCAATTTCTTTGTCTGCTTATCCTTGATTATCAACGTGGAATCCGCTGTTGTCGTGAGAGCGTCTGTGCTCATTTGCGGAATTTCTTCGCTTGATGATGATGATGATGATGATGCCGCTATTGCTGCTGTAGCGAAGAGCAGCAGCAAACACGTGCCGATACTGGCCAGCATAGTGTGTTTTAGAGATTTCTGTAATAGTGGAGGAATTTTTGTTTTTTGAATGTCACTGAAATCTGTCCCAAGTGGTTTTTAACTTACATTTTGAAGCTCTCCGAGTGGGTTTCAGCAAGCGTTGCTCTGCGGGTGTCACAAGGTTGACGCGTTTGCCTTATTTATACTGAATGTTGTGTGCTAGGAACACTTGTTATAACATTTTGAGACACGTGGATTATTTTGTCGTACCATATTTCACAGCTGGGATCTGGCTGAAATTGACAGTCTATTTGAGTTCAAGCAGACACTAACAGGGCGTTTCAGAAAAATTTGGGCCGTCTCGCAAACAAAAGGAATGAATACCCACCAATTCTTCTAGACTGTTCTATTAATTTTAAAATTGTTGCCGACGTAGTTTTTCTCAATGATGTGTATTAGCAATCATGGTGCGAGCAAAAATATTAATTTCATCCATTTAAATTAATTTCATTCAGCTATCGGTTGAGCCGAAGTTCAGCTATTCAGCGTATGTACTGTAATTGAAAAGGCTACGCATTTTGCTTTGAAATGATTTGACCTTACTTTGCTATGAAATGGGTCAAAAACTTTTTTTTCAGTTTTGGCTGTTCCATCGGTTTGACTTTCTTTCTGGACACCTTGTGTTTTGGCTCTTGAGTCTTATTTTAATGGTGTCACGCGTATGTTCCTAAAAATTCAAGCGTCCCTCACAACACTTGTACCATGTAATAGCGAGCTGCAAAGCGTCATGGCATCTGCTGCAGATGTTCTCGAAGGAATGTAGCCGATGTGCGAACCCAGGAGTATTAAATTTTTTTTTTCTTCAAAGGATACAAGCTTTTGAATACTTCAGTTAAAGCTGCGGAACTTTTTAAAATTTCTCCGGAATGTTTGTCGGACCAAAATGGGATTGAAGAACTTGCTGCGAAGGAATTTGACGACGTGTGGAAGAGAGCATACCTATTTTAAAGTATGAAATTTATAACGGATCTTTTTGCCGCGTTTACGAAATTACAGACGGCATCCTGATTTTTGTCAGTTATTCAAGGGTTGAGAATTGCGTAAGCTGCAACTGTGACATTCTAAGCAGCAGATACGTTCCATCGGGTGACAAGCATCCGACCTACGTGAATTCGACCTATCCTCCAAAGCCCTTCTTAATGAGCTTATTAATCCTCTCGTTTTTCCAAGACAACATCTGACCCATGACTTAATCCCTATCTCGCGCGCCAAGCTTTCGACCTATCCTTTTTGTGTGGACCAAAGAAAACGG